CCTATAAGTGCGAGAGAGACAGCAAATAGCCAGGCGGGACTTGGGTGGTTTTTCCGTCATAGCAGCATCGCATTTTCCTCGACCGGGGTTGCCTACCGCCACTCTGGATTAAAATCGTTCGTTAATTTATTGTAAATTTTTCAGAGAATCTGTGTGAATCTTTAATCCGCTGGATAATACGAGGGGCGTTCGTAAAGTAAGTTTATATCTTTTTTTTCTCCGGAATTAATGAAGATAAATTAAAACGGTAAAAAGTTTTTTAACCGTCAGACTCTCAGCTTTTCAAAAAGTCTTCGTTTTTTAAATTTGGTCCACCCGTTCGCGAGTGACGTCATTTTTCCCGCGCCCATCTCTCGTCACCGCGTGTCCAAAATATTCGAGCGCGGCGGAGCTCCTCAGACGAGTACATGTTTTGGCTCCGGGATTTTGGGTCGCTCAGGGAATATTGCTGATCGATTTGTTAGGAAGAGGAAAAACGATCGATGCCGCAAGATATTGTGAAGTTTTGAAAAAACTTAATTCAGCGATCAAGCGAAAACGGCCCGATCTTTTGTCTCGTCAAGTTTTGTTCCTTCAAGACAACGCCAGCGGGGCGATTATTGAAATTTCTTGTTTGTAGGATCGACATAGATGACATAGGTTAAAAGGCGGAGCGTGATTGGTCGGCTATGTCTTATCGCTGCTTTGTCGTGCCTTTGTCAGGTGGAATGATCGACAAGCTAACGGCATTTCTTAAGTTTCCGACAGTATGTCGATCATTCCACCTGACAAAGGCACGATAAAGCAGCGTTAAGACATAGCCGACCAATCACGCTCCGCCATTTAACCTATGTCATCAATGTCGATCCGACAAACAAAACATTTCAATAATCAGGCTGCAGGCCTCATGTGGCTCATGTGACTAGAGACTTGTTCGCCTCATTCAAATGGGACCTTTTTCCTCATCCATCGTACTCACCGATGATGACTCACCGCGATTTTCATCTTTTTCCTGCGTTAAAGAAGAGCTTGGGTAGCCGAAAGTTCTCCACCGACGCAGAGTTGCAAGAAGCTGTAAAAAAATGATTCCAACGACAGGATATGCGCACTTTTTTGAAGATTGAATCCACAAACTGCTAACATATAATCAGAAATGTGTTCAACTGGGTGGAGATCATGTCGAAAAGCAAGGTAAGACAATTCAAAGCCTGAAAGTTTCACATATGAATCCAATTAATGGTGTTACAACCTTTTTTAAAGTGAAAACGTGCGTACTCACTCGTCTGAGGAACTCCGCCGCGTTCGAATATTTTGGACACGCGGTGACGAGAGATGGGCGCGGGAAAAATGACGTCACTCGCGAACGGGTAGACCAAATTCAAAAAACAAAGGCTTTTTGAAAAGCTGAAAGTATGACGGTTAAAACACTTTTTACCGTTTTAATTTATCTTCATTAGTTCCGGAGAAAATAAAGATATATACTTACTTTACGAACGCCCCTCGTATTTTTAGAGCGCAGATTTCCGCCGCCATTTTATTTTTTGCAGAGAATTTGTTGGTTGAATCTGTTTGAAAATTTTACTGAATTTCATCAGCAGCACAAAGAAAATTCGCTGAAATTTTCGGACATTATCGTTGACCAACTTCTCTGTAAAAAAATAAAATTGCGGTGGAAATCTTTAAACGTCGCATGGCACCTGTGATACTACAGCCGGAAAGTGACGAAGTATTCATCAGTATCTCGTCTTTTTTGGCTAGGAGTAACATCTAATAATACCGCATAAATTCAATTGAATTGTAATAACAGCAAATGATAATATGCTAATCTTACTCTACAACAGAAAAATCATAGGAGCAACACGTAATGCATAACGTCTGAGGCACAAAGCATTTAAGGGATTGGACAGCGGAGTGGTGAGGAGGAGTAGCAGTGGTCCCCTGGAAATAAAAGAAAATCAGCATTTAAATGCCAGGGAATATGTGGCTAAAAAAATACGTCTTCTTTAACTGACATACGATCGAGAGGGGAAAAATTCAATTCGGTGTCAATTACTCTTTCGAGGTTAAAATTTCTAAAACAGGAGCCCGTGACAATGGTGATAACAAAGTTAATTACTTCAACTCGAAAGAGTAATAACATAAACATAGGAGAAAAAACGGGAAACAAGGCTACAAATTACACATAAAAATCCGAGATTCCGAAATCCGAAAAATCCGGAAACGTCTCGGACTTTTATGTGTAATTTTTAGCCTTGTTTCCTGTTTTTTCTCCTATGTTTTTGTTATTACTCCATCGAGTCGAAGTAATTATAATGATGTTGCCATTTACCTTACCACGCGGAATATCGACGGTAAGATTCCCAAACCACGTATCTCGTATGCGACTTTGCAGACTTCTTGTCATTCGTAATTTTTTTAATGGAAAACTACTCACTGTCAATTCTGAAAAACATCCAGGATTTTTCTCCTTTATGCGAAAAAAATTCTGTGAAAACTGCAAAGGAATGATCTTCATTTGTTCTCATTTAAAAAATAAAAGAGGAGGAGAGAATTTTATCCATCGCAAACAAGATGCGCGGTTCTAATGTTTTACCGTCGATTTATTATTTCATGAGCAAGATTCCGGTGATCGCCGTTCAAAAATGGATTTCGAACTTAGCGAATCAAGGAAGTTCCAGGTCCAGCTAATCGATGTCTTCGAGAAGAAAGTGTCATGTAAAACCCATCGATCTCTTCAGAAAAATCTGGAGAATTGATCTTCGTAATCTTCTACGAAAAAATGTTTCTATTTCGCAAAACTGTTCTACAACGTTTGCTTTTACACTATTAGGAACGTTTTGGCGGGGTCCCTTGTCAGTTTCAAAATTCAATCTTTTTAATTTCTCGTATAAGCCGCACCCTAGTGTCGCAGCGATCTTAGCGTTGGTCCCGGTCGAGAGGGTCGGCAGGGCGGTCAAGACATCTTCGCAGTTTGACGCGCCTTCAATCCGGCGGAGCTGCAACATGCGTACACCCGTGGTCAAATAGTTGTATGTCACGCCTGACGTGAATGAACTCAAATATCGACGGTTTTACGCGTTAAGGAGCTTCTTTACCTCGATTGCAACATTGCAAACCACAGTTAATGCTTCAATTTCAATCAATATGTACTTAAAGATACACACAGATTCTCTGAAAAATTTACAATAAATTAACGAACGATTTTAATCAAGAGTGGCAGTAGGCACCCCCGGTCGAGGAAAATGACGTCCTACTAAAGTCCCGATAACAAACGGGTGGCCGACACTCTTAGTCACAGGCAACTCCCTTAATCTGAAAATTGATTCGGTTGGAATTCGACTGCAGCCCAAACGACGGCACGGATTCCTACGATCTTGGTGTCTACGGACGCATCTCAATTGGGACTGCAAAGTGGAAGAGTTTCATTAAGATCCATTGAGTTTTCAAAAAGTTATAAGCATGGTGTCAAAAATACTAACGTGATAGCGAAGAGAACAGTGAGTGCAAAAATGAAGTTTGGAGAAAACGGAGACCGGAAAATTTTATTGAAAGAAGCCCCCGTTTTTTGTCAAATTGCCACTAATCATCCGATAGACTCCTGGAGAAATTCTTCTTGGAAAAATTTGGATGGTTAAAAATCGATCGATTTCATTTTAATTATATAAATAGGGTATTTTCCATTTTCATGTTAGGATAGTGTTCGGCAAGATAGTCGTAATTGCTAGCTTCTGCATGCTTTCGTGGTTGCGTTTTAGACGAACAACAAACACATTTTCCGGTTCGAAATTGGCAGGAGAGGGCGGCACAATACTTCAAAGCACTGTTTTCATTGGCTCTCTGGAGGAATAATGTCACTTACGGCTGTTTTGTCTGAAACTACGTCATTTTTTGCGCACTCACGGTTTTCTCATACGTCTTGTTTCTATACACTTAAGATTAATTAAGCCGTTTTAACTATTTTTGTCATCCCATCTTAAAGAGATTAGACGAATTTTGGTTGAAACTCAATTTCAAAAATTTGACACTAACTGCTCTCTTCTCCATCATGGCAGAATAGGGAACATTGGATAACCTCGCGACGCGACTCAGTCAGAGATGATTTTTAAAGGCGTGTGTTGCGCAATGTAATCACCTCGCGTCATGCGGAAAACAATGTGTTTGTGTGTGTGCAAAGTTGGAGCACTGATCGTTGACATCATAGCTCTGCCGTGCTAAGGAAGAACGCCGTATGAACAGTTGAGAGCTGCCGAATTTCCCTCGATAAAATATGTAATTTTGACGACCTTTGTGCACATTTTTTCTTGAAATTTTCAGATATTTTGCGTACAAAATTTGCTGACAAATTTGGGGGAAAACATTCACAAATTTCCTAGTAATTTCGGTTTTTATCGAGGGAAACTTGGCAACGTCTGAAGGCTCATACGGCGTTATTCCTCAGCACGGTAGAGCTCGTGGGTTTATTTTTTGTGTTCCATGAACAGCGATGACGTGTGTGTCTAGGGTTTTTCGATTTAAAAAGAACACTCATGCAGGTATGTAAAGGATGTTGTACAAGGGCGTTTAAAGTACACATCTATTAGATATGTCCACCATCACAATTTGAAGAGCTATCCTTACAGTTAGAGGTCATTGGTGACTTGTTTTAAATCAATTCAAGTTTGTGCCTTCCATGTGCGTCTGAGAAACAACTTTTTCCCTGTGATTTTGCTTTCTTACAGTCACTATTTTTAGTTGTTTGGTTGCAGTGTGTTTTGTGCATATTGATGGTGAAACTACTAGACCACGTATCTCGATTTGCGAAGTTGCAGGCTTCTTGTCCATTTTTTTTCAAATGGACAACTTCCATGATTTTTCTTTTCTAAGAGAAGAAAACTCTGTGAAAACTTCAAGAAACGATGTTGATTTTTTTTCCTTCAAAAAAATAAAATGGGAGCGGAAATGTTTAAACACCGTAAACAAGATATGATTGAGGATGTATTTTTCACAGGATATATTTTAAAGCTAGCTCTAGTTGAGTTCATTATACTTAATATCTCAATGTTTTAAAAAAAACTGTGCTTATGCGCCTCGGCCTGTAAACCCCTTAGTTAATACCGATTTTCCAGAAAATGCACCTCCAGGAGCCTCTTCTGCCACACATGTTGAACCTTCACGTCATAGCTACGATCGTTTGTATCAGTCTTTCAATTCCAGCCATTGATGCCACGTTTTACATCGAAACTAAGCATTTTCAAGGGACTAGTGTCACCTGGAATATTTGGGAATGCCTCGTCCCGGCAAATCCGGTAAGATTTTCACATTACTCAGACATCTTATTATTATTTTCTCGATAAAACATTTTTTCTGAAAAAAGTTACAAAAGTTTTCTATGTTCGCTTTTGTAAATTGAAAGGACCATTAAACAAGTTAAAAATTCAAGGCGCCGTAGCAAACGCGTCCCATTGTTTATTGTTACATACGAATGTAAGTTGAGAGAGGCCAGTCATAATGCCTTCAATTTTATACATACATATTTTTGGGCAAAATGAGAGACGACGTTTCTCCTTTTGCGACGTTGCAGACTTCCTCTGAAATTTTATTTTTCTTTCGAGAAGCTGGTCAACATAAAACTTAAATTCTCCATGATTTTTGGTATTCGATAGCAGAAGATTTGGTTCAAAATTTAAAGTCGTAAATTTGGATTGTTTCTCATGGAAGAGATGAATTAAGGACGGAAATTTTGAAACAGCGCAATGGTGATACGTGGTTTCGCACTTCAGTCACTGCGATACGGACATCCATCAAGTTTAAAAAATGCATCAAGTCCCCGTCACCGCTAACCAACGCGTTTGTCGATCGAATCAACTACAGGTTTTATGCGTAGGAGGTCAAAACGCCTTCAATTTTTTGAACGCAATACGGACATCCGTCGAGGTTGTATAGTTGTATAATAATTAATTATAATAAATAACTACAATAATAATAAATAACTTGAACGTGGTTGTTCAATGATTTCTTACGAGCAGTTCCCTTTCAGTGTTTAGTGGCCGCGTAGCGGCCTAAGGTCCCAAGTATGGTTTATTTACGTAAAATTTTGAGGTACGCATTCGCCGTAAATCCACCACCTACAGTGATTTCCATGACAATAACCACCTCGGGCAGCCGAAGTGTCAGCTGACCGAAAAAAAGCGCCCGAAAATAACGGCATAAACCGCGCATCTCCCGACGGGACGAACGGGATAACCGATTTTTCAAAGGGCGCAAGGGGCGCGGGGCCCGCCGCACGATCCCTCTATTTTCTCCGCCATCGGCGGACCCGCTAAATTTTTTCTCAAAGGATCGGGCTTACGGAATTATATATTGTCATAAAATCGCGTTTGTTAAAATCAGTTAAAAAAAGTAAAATATCTCAATTTGCCACGATTTTTTCCCCGATAATATTGCGATGAATTATCGTCGATAAAATTGCGATTTCATTGGAAATTAATGTGATGAATTCGCAATTTGTAGCAATTTTTCATCCGCTAATACTACAATAAATCGACGTCTATGAAAATGCAATAAATTTTCCGCGATTAAATCGCAACTCATCGCGATCAATGCTACTTGGACTCAACTCTCTCCAGTCACCTTAGTTTTTGAGAGGAAAGCAGGGTAATATAACCCGTGAGAAATACTATCTATTAATTACAGTCTCCTATCACATCTGACGGACCCTCATCGCCGTCACAAGGCAGAAAGGGTTGGTCACCACCAGCATGGCGGCGCACATCGGGGGGCTTTGGATGCAAAAAGGTTCACCAAGATGAGCAAAAGCATCGAATTTACTCAACGACCAACTTCTTTTTTGTCATGGCACCCAAGCTTCGTGGAGGCCGCAGGTATTGTTGATTTGAACACCTCATAAACAAACATCGTAGCCGCAACTTTTACTCTTTGTCACGTAACAACTTTCGCTAACTAGTGATAGAGTTCAATCGAGTTCTTGCATGTGTCACTAGTGTGTCAGGAATTTGCGATGTAGGAGCTGGTGGTAATGTGAAATTTTACGAGAAATACGATGGTACCACTGGTTTTTTCTGGAATCAATTCCAAAGCTCAAAAAAAGTCCCCAAAGTTGAGGCTGTAATGGAGGGGATATCCCTCGCTACCCTGATAGTCCACCTCTCCTCTATATCAAGACAAACTCTCTATGCAAAGATGGGGGACAAATACAGTAACAGGGTCGTCACTTTGTTGGGGGAATCTATTTCTGAAAACACGGCAACTCTGCTAATGTATTTACTCCATATCTTTACATAGAGAGTCTGTCTTGGTATAAAATGTGGACTCTTAAGGTAGCGTAGGATAACCCTATATTACAGCCTCAACTTTGAGAGCTTTTAGTAAGCTTTGGAGTTGATTTCGGAGAAAGTCAGTGACATCATCGTGTTTCTCGCGAAATTTTACATGGGAATCAATACCTCGCGGTTAGGCTGATGGGTCCTATCCGCATAAGGTAACATGCCCTCGCAGTAGGGATATTGGTCAGCAGCAACCTGATTGCAGAGAAAACCCAGATTCATGTGTTGATCCAGATGTTTTTGAATTTGAAAGAAAAATTTTCTTGATTCAAAATTACACTCCTTGGCTCTAAAGTATTATTAAGTACAATGAGTCTATCTTTATACTGTAATAATTTCTTAAATTGAAAGGCAATTTCTTATAGTGATGAGGCAAGAGACTCAAAAAAAGATGTTGCATCTTTTGGCAATCATCATTCATCAGAGGAAACTCAGGATATCGGCTCCCTAGTATACATGGTTGCGTTCGCTGCTGTTCGAAGGCACTGATTTTGAGGTGAAACGTTTCCCTGAACACATATCTGGCATGAATTACTATTCATGAACAAGTCCTCTCTTCTCCTTCACTAAAAAATAAGGGCACTTAAGAAGAAAATGCAGCTGTACCTCATCAAATGTCCTTCATCCAGAATTAATCCATAGCTACTGTCTATTTTCCCAACAGCATCACGTTGATTGACGGGATCCTTCGAGGTCCTTTCTATCTGGGAGTGCCACTGCTAGAACAGGAGCCGGACTGGCCGCCTCTCATCGAAGGCCAGAGGGAAGAGATGATCTCACACATGCTCCAGAGATGCCGCAACATGATGCCCACACCCATGTCCACGCAACTTCTCGGTCACGTACCCATGGATACCATGGCCTCCTTGATGAGCATCACGGACTTCTATCAGTTCGCCGAGCCTGAGTTCGCCGCTACCTTTGCTGAAATCATGAACAATGTCGTAGTCCTGTACCGGGAGCAAGTGTGGAAGAACCGGGATGAAAAGGTACGACCGTGTTCATGTCTATGCTCAGCATGCAGAGTTGGAAAATTTCATTCAATTTATTCGCGTGAAATTTCACGAAATTTTATGAAATTTTTTAAAACTTTTGGGGACGCAATCAGGAGGCCAAAAATTGCCTACTAACACTGATTCTCGATTTTGACATTTTTCATCCCAAGCCTAAGACACTCACGAGTAGCAAACGTTTTTGTTTGGCTTGGAGATCAGGCTGAGGCTCAATTGGATTGAATTTTGCGAAGGAACTACTAGCATTGCAATGTTGCTAATATTGTGCAACTTCTTTTGTCTTGGAGGAAAAACCAGATTATCCATTAATAGTTTCTATTTTACTCGCTAATAACTGTAAATTTAAGACAAAAATTACCATCTAAATTTCATAGTTTTTCACGATTTCCGCAATTAAATTGCAGAAGATGAAGTTGCACAATCTTAGCATCATTGCAATGCTAGTGGTTCCTTTTTGCAAAATGCAATCCAATTCCTCTCTGAGCTCCCCTTGGTGCCCGTCATCGTGTATTGTACCTCATTAGGGTACCATGTGCTGCCGCATCAGCAGGAAGGCCAGCTGAAGCGCTTTCCAGATTCCGAAGGTTGAATTAATTTTTCCTAAAAAAAATCAGCAAATTTCAAATATCGTGACATTAATTTGAGCCTGTTAAAATTTCCTGAAAAATTACATGAAATTTCACTTTCCATCTTTGAGACTGAACCATGCAGCGAACACAGTATGATCGGAGTCCGTCACCTGTTGGTATTGGATGGATTGACATAAAATATTAATGGATCAGTAGACATCAGGGTTATAGGAATGAATGAATTCAAGCATTCTAATACATGTTTCTGAACCGAAATGTCACGCAAAACACGATTTGGGCGACAAAAATTACTGATATTATCTGATAACTAAAATATTTAACGTTTTTCGATGCAAAAAATCAAACCCTCCGCTCTTGAAAAATCGCTTCCTCATCCGTCTATGCAATAACGCATGAGTCAAATCGCGCTCTATACGTTACCGTGATAGTCCCTGCGAATTATGGCAATTTCGATTTCAATGCTTAGCTGTTCCACGTTGTTAACACTTTGAACAACATGAGGCGGGGAGGGAACATTGCTCTATTAAGAAACCTGCCAAAATTGTATTGTATTGCACGATTTGATTCAAGTTTCAAGTAGACCATCGTCATTCTCGGAAGCAGGGTATACAAAATTCTCGTGACCAAAGTACCTAAACTAATAACACTAATATCTTAGTTAGGAGTTGATTTCAGTAATTTTCAACGCGAATCGTGTTTTACGTGAAATTTTGGAGAAAATAACGTGAGGTATCAGAATGCTTACATTCGTGCCTTGTCTACTGGTCCATTCAATCGGCCATTCTCGAAGAGGCTTAAGACGTCGAAAAATCGCAAATTGAGTTTTTGGTGGTTTGGTGTTACTTCGGCACGGATGAACCTTGCTGCAAAGTGACAAGCAGAAAAACTGATTTTTAAGGTCTGAAAAATATCTACAAATTCCAGTCATTTTTTAAAATACTCAAGCACCACAGCGCTACATAGCTGACATCATTGGCTTGTCTTGATTTGAGTCGATTCGAATCCCTCACGCAATGTTCAAGTCACAAAAAAAGTGACACACTCGTAGGTTCTAAAAAAATCCCCCAATGCAAGATATGTGTGTCAGTTGCGCTGGTCGCAGAATCGTTTTTTGATGCTTGATTCTTGTGGATGAGCAAAAAATTATAAGATATGTCCAAACAGCAACTCTCTATACGTTGATTATCAAAGTTTCACGGTGAGTAACCAGTGGAAATGTAAGTTTACCCCTGACTGATGAAATTAAGGTGGAAGGAACCAGGAGTGTCAGTACCGCACTTGATGAAACCGCACTGAAAAAAAAATCTCGGTGTATTTACTAAGGAAAGGGTAAAATTGCCAAGAATTCAGGGTTCTATTTGATCCCATTTTTTTCTTGGTAAAATTACCATTTATGGAATTGGTAATTTTACCGAGGAATCTTGGTAAAATTATTGAACTTTCTCGGTATTTTACTGTACCTTGGTAAAAACGCCAATATTTTTTATCGACTGTGGTAGAATTACCGAGAAAAAATGGCAAAGTTACCGGGAATTGATTACCAGTAAAAGTGGTATTCTTACCTGGAAAAAACAGTAAAAATACCGGTTTTTAGGTAAGCTCACCAGTCTGTCTTGGTAAAATTACCAAAAATTGGTAAAAAAAATGAGATGGTAAAGGTACCAACGGACCTTGGTAAAAACGCCGAGGATTTTTTTTTCAATGTATAAACCGAATTTTTGAAAGCGCGATATCTCGGTTAATATTCAACGTAGAAAGTCGCTGTTTAGGCAGATTTTATTATCTCTAGCCGATCTACAAGAGTCAAGCTCCAAAACACGATTCTGTGACCAGCGCAACTGATGCATTTATACTCACAGGTTTTCAACCCATTTGATTTTCCGGCAGAGGAATGAGGAGAAAATGATGAGGCGAGCTGAGGCTTCGATCGCTGTGAAGAATGCGGTGTCGATGTTGTTGGAAAAGACGATCGATCCTTGTTTCACGGCCAGCCTTCGAACGAGCCCCCAGATGACAACAGCGAATCCTGGAGATCTATGCAACACGCACTGCAAGTTCTTAGCTGTGGGTTTCTCCGTTTTGCCAAACAGCAAAAGCTCCGACTTTTCAGCATCCATCAAAGGCGGTGTCTGCTCGGAGAAGGTCTGCAAGTGTACCGGGAAATTATTGCGTCATCACGTGAATATGATTCTGTGTAGCAACACCTTAAGGAAGGGCATGTATGATAATAGTCGACATGGTGAAAATCTTCCTACGGCCATTATAAAACGTGTGGGCAGCGCATTCCAATCACGGTCAAGGAGGAGGTTATCTAGGAGGTCTTCTTCAGGACGCAGTCAGTCGTCGACTCCATCGAGAAGCTCGTTTAGTTGGTCAAGTTTGTCAAAATGCTGGCACTGACAACGGGCTCCGAACGTGAAAATGATAGGGAAAAAGTAAGAAAGATTTTTATTGGATATACTGAAAAAAATAGTATGCTGTGATATACTGAAAAAAATAGTATGCTGTTTTAGCACCTAGAATGTCAAAAATGTGTCTAGTGATCCTACGATGCTGCCCTGATTGCCCACGCAGTTAAATTAGCATTCTTAGGATGTAAAGTTAGCTGTGAGGGCAGTAAAGGCAGCATATTGGGATCACCAGACACATTTTTGATATTCTAGGTGCTGAAACAGCATATTACTTTTTTCGGTGAGATCCCAGTGCCGAATTAAGGGAGAGGGGGTGTTGGAGAGGGAGGGGGCGTGGGAAGGAGAGGGGGTGTGGGAGGGGGAGGGAAGGTACTTTTTTTCTCTTAGTACGGTGAGAACTGCTTAGGAATCGTCCTCATAAATAATAATGTTTCTTTAATTTAATCATGAAATTTTCAGTTCTGTGTCTCTCTAAAGAAAAATTTGCGGGTGTCTAAAGTTTTGTGAATCTCATGTTTAAGGAGAAACTATTGAGTGAGCTGAGCACGAAAATATCCTTGGTTTCTAAAATAAACAATTTATTAGAGGAGATAATAATTATGATCAAATTGCCTAATCTCCTAAAATGCATGTGTTTAGGTGGAAAATGCTGCCTGATGACGTTACCATAGGCAGATCCGGGGGGGAGGGCATTCGCCAGAAAAAAAGGAGGAAGAAGGGGTGAAGAAAGAAAGAAAGAAAGAAAGAAGGAGGCGATGGAGGAAAGAAGAATGATGGACGCTTATTTGGTAATTATTAGGGACGAAATCGACTCAAACTCCTTGTTAGATGCTTTAAAATGTCGATATTTTTTGGGAAGCCCCCCTCCCACAACCCCCGTTTGAGATGTCTGGATTCACCTATGGACGTTACAGGGTGGCAGATTTTTTCACTTTTAAATCTTTTTTTTTTAAATTTCTCATCTCGGAAAAACCCATGAAAAATACTGCGAGCCCAGCTCGTTCAGCCCTTTCAGATGTATCGATACAAATTCGGACTTTCCATTGCCCTGAAGGTCTTAAATCGAAAATAAAATCAAGTGATATTACGCTTGAGAATCATATTGACTTGATCTCTTTCCACCACGTTTCTGCATTCCAGCAACGCAATTATTGTTTACTACATTCGTACCGTTTTGCGCGTCAAGTTCGATGTACTCATCAGTGGTCAATATTATCTTTTATGCTCATTTTTTCTGAACCTCATTTCCCTTGACGATAGTATACCATTACGCCCACCTCCCGAGTTTGACAGCGATGACGCAAACATACTCAGTCCCAAAAGAACGTTCAACGGCATGAGAAGATACGATGTTGCTACCGAGCTTGCCTTTCGGGATCATGAGAGGACACACGGGAGTTCTAGCCAGTCCTACAAACCTAAATCTTCTAGTGTTAAAAAAATGTATAATTTCCAATAAAAAGAATATTTTTCAAGCTTTTTCTATTTGCGACCTAATTAAGACTTTTATATGCACACTGAAAAAAATGGTATGCTGTTTTGGCACCTAGAATGTCAAAAATAAGTCTAATGATCCTAAGATGCTACCTTGATTGCCCACGCAGGTTGAATTAGCATTCATGGGATGTAAAGTTAACTTCCAGGGCAGTAAAGGCAGCATCTTGGGATCACCAGACACATTTTAGAGATCCAAGGTGCTAAAACAGCATTTTATTTTTTTCAGTGCAGTTAAAAATTCCTGTGTTTGATTTTACTTTCTGTTACTTTTTTGTACATACCGAAATTGGTATATGGACGGCGTAAGTCCGCAATCACATATCTCGTTTGCGGTGTCTGAAAATCTCCGCCTCTATGTTATTTTTTACAGTAGAACAAACAGACATCATTTCTTGAAGGGTTTACAGAATTTTCTTAGCATAGAGAAGAAAAACCACGGCAGTTTTAAATAATTCCTGTAGCGTAGTTTTCTGTTTAAAAAATCAAGTATGACAGGAAGTCTGCGACATCGCCGACCGAGCTATGTGATTGCCGACTTACACCGTCGATATGTATTCCTCGTTAGGTGAAGGCTGGATAGGCAACTAAACTAGCTGCATGACTGAGCGTGAGGTTTCGTGCGAAACTGAAGGCACTATAACCCGAGATGTTACTTATGAATTCCGCTGATGTTAAAAATGCTCGTGTTTGGTGTTACTCTGTATTACTTTGTGTTACTTCTTTTGTGTCAGATTAACCCCAAGGCCTTGGTTGCTCAACACAATTTTGTGTTGAACCGACCCAAACCTTAGGTTACTCTGAGACAAAGGGTCATGAAAAAGTTTCCTACCGAACTTATGGACTCTTGTTCTGAAAATTCTACGACCTCATAACTTCGTTATGAACAACTACACCCCCTGACGGCTTCGTGGTACAACCCCCCGAAGTTCTTCACGCATTAGGCGTTATGCGTTACGCGTGCCTATTATCATCATACTCCACGATATAACATTATACGGGTAGCGTGTCACGCTAAATCATGCCACAAACCGGGTTTTCCCTCACTCTCTTCTTAAAATGGTCTTGAAGCAAAAAAACAAACAAAAAAAACAAAAACAACAACAACAACAACAACAAAAATGTACCCTCAAACGGTTTGCTGGGGGTGAGTCTATGGTAAGTGTGGACTTAATATCGCCTTTCGCGGAAAATCAACATCTTGGCTAATCCTAATTTCGAGATACCGCAAATGAAAATTTTCATATACTGAATGAGTTACAAGTTTACATACAAGTTTTTTACTGATTTTGATCAGCTTTTTTACTTCTTTGTCAATTTTATCGGTGGTGATTGGTTCACGTTTTTATTTTTCGTTCGATTCATGTCAATCGAATACACACCCTCTCGTTACATGCAGACATCCTATCATATTCCGCCTTCAGCAGCGTCAGCAGTAATTGCTGTTACGAATGTGTTGTGCGTGCTGATTTCAGCTCATTGTATACTTGACTCTTTGAAGGCGTTTAATGTACGAGAGTAGAGCACCCTGTTGGAGAACAACAGAAGTGAGATTGAATGAATCGCTCAATCCCTATTTCGTTTGTTCTCCGACAGATTGCACTACTTGTACACATAAAACGCCTTCAGAGAGTCGAGTATGTAATGCGCTGAAATCAGCAAGCACAACACTTTCGTAACAACAATTACTGCTGACGCAGCTGAAGGCGGAATATAATAGGATGTAGGTGTGCATGTAACGAGAGGGTATGTATCGATCGACATGAATCGAACGAAAAATAAAAACGTGAACCGATCACCACCGATTCAATAGACAAAGAAATAAAAAAACTGATCAAAATCTGTAGAAAACTTGCATTCAGTATGAAAACTCAAAATCGAAAATCGATCAATTCGAAATTAGTATCAGCCAAGATTTTGATTTTTCGCGAGTTTAGGTCCACGCACCTTAGACTCATCCCCTGCAAACCGTTTTTGGGTACATTTTTTCGCATTTTTTTGGCATCAAGACGACTGTGTATTCCCCTCCCTTTGTCACTAGGACGATTTTGTTTTTATCCCAAAAAATTAGATGTGTGAATTAGGCACCATTTTAACTTTTGCACTCGACAGTTTCTCTTGCAAGGACGATTAATAAATCACAGAGTCAGAGTTTTGATGAAGTTGCCCTTTTTATAAATCGGCTCTCATTCAGCTACGGGCAACTTTACGTTACATTATAAATATTTAAATTAAAATTCGGTAAACATGTTTTAAACATGGTATAAAAATTAAATGGTGAATGGGGGGAATAAGAACTTGAATGATGTGATTCATGATGGAGTTTGGCCAGAAATTTTTGATTTATAAATTCATATTTCTTTCATATGAGAGGCGCAAAGTGCCTGAGGGGGTTGGCTTATAGCGCCCCTTGGCGATTTAAAAATATTGTATGATTTCCAAAGCCACCATGTTAAATATTATTACTGGGAGACCGTGATGAAGTCTGGGCCATAACGCCTGTGCGAAGGTCAAATTTTTGGGAGCCTTGAGACACCCCCCTGGCGCTTTCTCTTTGAGGATCATTGTTGCGTAGCGCTGGACCTCGCCACACGCGAGGCTCTCCCGTCAAAAGGGGTCGGAAAGCCAGACTCAGAAATGCCCCCAGGACGGTATGGACGAGCCGCTTGCGACTTACTATCTTTTTCCTACGTGATAATATATATCGACGGTGAAACTACCAAACCACGTATAATTGAAATAAACGACTTATATATATCGACGGTGAAACTACCAAACCACGTATAATTGAAATAAACGACTTCGCAGACTTCCTGTCATACTTTATTTTTTAAATGAAAAACTACTGAACGTCCAGTCTTGAAAATTTCTGTGATTTTTCCTCTTCGTGCGGAGAAAATTCTGTGAAAATTTCAAGGAATGATATTGATTTGGTCTACTTAAAAAAAATAAAATGCGAGCGTAGATTTTTAAACACCGCAAACGAGATACGTGGTTTGGTAGTTTCACCGTCGATATTTCTCTACTTCCAGGGAGTTGCTTTGAATCTTTTTCACATAGACATGCTTGTCAATGGTGGACCTTTGAGTACCTATGTAGACAGGGTATGGCCATTTGTGTGCCGGTTTTTCATTGGTCGCGAAAAATAGCCTGATATGGTGCGCTTGCGGCCGTAAGCACAAACGAGATGGCGACTCCCACTTAACCGTTGAATTCCCTCTAGAGGAAATTAGCGACTCAATCATAAAGTATCTGATAATGAATTTAACTCTCGTTTAAAAAACCTTTATGACTAACTCTAGGTCAAACTATAGCATGATGATTCAAAGAATTTTTAAAATTGGGTTGTTTCATCCTAGCTTTTGCAACTTAGGTACCTCAATATCGCTACCAATTTTTTTTTTCTGGAGGGAGAATCGAATGAAAGTCACTAGGCTTTTCGCAGCGATGCTCATTAAAAACAGGAAGATGAGCAAACTCCTTAGCAAGGCAGCATACCCTTTTGTTAGGAGAGCCTCGCGAGTGGCGAACTGCCGTGCAACACAAAAACGCCGTAAAGGTCATTTTAAATTTTTTGGAAACAATGCATCATAGCAGACAAACTTGCGTACCTTAGGACAATGTTTTTACACAAGTCTTTCGCAAGGACTATAAAGTACTCAACCTGAAAAGTTGAGGTACATGGATAAAACAGTTTTTATTTTATTAAGTGTCAAGTTCCAAAAAAACGAGGGAAAATCTTGATGGATTTACGGCGTTCTTGCTCAGCACGGCAGCAAAGCCTAACGCTACGCAACAATGATCCGCAGAGAGCGCAAGCGTCAGAGAGGCTGTCTCAAGGCTCTCCGAAAATTGACCCATTTAATTTTTATTACACGTCTGGATACATTAACACCGACTGTGACCTAGTAATCCTGTATTGTATGCATTACATAACTTCGAGATGAACAGGTTCAAGCACAATCCACAACCTAGGACAAACTCTCATCATATTAACTTGTCATTCAACTTTTTAGCCTCCTCCGCGTTCTTTTTACTGAGACCACCGTGTTATGGAATAATGCTATCACTTCCCTCTAAGCAGTCCGGAGGTACGTGGTAACGGAGGATGTCTTGGCTTCTTAGTGATCAAAATAATCGGACAATATCACCACCATCATGCAGCTGGCGGATTGATTATTAAATCGTTATCGAATGAACTTGATGGGTAAATCCCTATCTTGGCAATGCTACTTGTCGATGAATGTGATTCGATAATGATTTAACAATCCAGGCGCTGATCAGTTTGGGAAAACGTAATGCGCAAAGGATAGACATTTCATGAGAGTCTTCAATGGCTAAATATTACCATAGGCGGATCTGCAGGGTGGCGTGCGAATTGGCAGATCTATAGCAAATTGGCAACATTGTCTTTTCTCCATTTAAATCCATGGGATGTATCGACTCTTGGAGGGGCCAGGCCAGGTGCTCCGACAAGAATCGATTAATTATCATAGGTTTAAATGAAGGAAATCCTGTGTTGCCAAATTGCTGGATCCGCCTCTGGGCGTGTGCGCCCCTCGCATTCGCCCGGAAGAAGTAGGGAAGAAAGATAGATTTAAGGAAGGAACGGAGGAAACAAAAAGGAAGGACGCTTATATTTGGGCATTATTTCAGACGAAATTGACTCGAGCTACATATTATTTGATGCTTTAAAACTTCAAACATTTACTAGGTTAAATCCCCCTGGAATTTCGAAACGTCTGGATCCGCCTGTGAACCTCACTTGCAAAATTTTCAAAAATGTTCTGATTAAAGAGATTCGGTAACAAATTGAAACCATTTGAACATTGATTAAACTATAAATCTGAGGAAGAATTCCGTATGAGCCTCCAGACGTTACCATATCTCCTTAAATATAAAACGAAGTTACTGGGAAAATTGTGAATATTTTTCTTCAAATTTTTCAGAAAATTTTGTTTGGTATTTGATCTAAAATATCTGAAAAGTTCAAGGAAAAATATACAAAGAAATCCTTCAAGAATACATGTTTTATCCGGTGAAACCTGGCAACTCTCAAATGTTCAAACGGCGTTCTTCTCAGCACGGTAGAATCGTCTCTGGAGACAAAAAACTGAAACGTTAAATGGACCGTGTTAAGCAAAAAGGAACCAAGCCACATCAGCTGATGCCAAATTCAACTCCGCGATTTAATTTTTTACAATAAAAAGTTTGTGCAAATCCCTTTGAAAATTTTAAGGACTTTGCTTCAATCTATGCAAAAAAGTCACTGAAATTCGCACAAAAATCCGCACAACCGTTTTCATGAAGTAAATTAAATAGCCCGATTTAATTTGGCAATAGTTGATGTGTCTTGGTTCCTTTCTGCTAGAGTATCTTTGTAGGGAGAGAGTGGACAACTCGATCTATGTAGCTCATAGGGCCCCAAAGGGCGATAACGTGTAAAAGGAAAATCACTAGATAAAAAGCCGCTGCCAACCTATGCATTTGGAAGATTAATCAGTAGGGCCGACAGAGCATTGTAAACAAGCGTCTTTAAGGCATTTAGACCTCGAAACTGAGAAAATGTATGCGAAATCGAAGTTTTATACGTGATTTTATAATTTTTGATCAGTTATGAAATGACGGGTAGTAAGAATTATGAAAATTAGCACCACCGGATAATTCGAGTTCATAGGTTGGCTGCTTTTTTGGGCTCCAAGAGCTACATGACCTGATCAAACGTAGCCTCCAAAGTTTCGAGTTGTCCATACTCTTTCGATAAAGGTACTCTACTTTCTGCTAAACGCGGTCCAAATGGATTGCATTTTGCAAAAAGGAACCGCTAGCATTGCAATGTTGCTAAGATTGTGCAACTTCTTTGTCTTGGAGGAAAAACCCGACTATCCATTCATAGTTTCTATTTTACTCGCGAAAAACTGTAAATTTAAGACAAAAATTACCATCTGAATTTCATAGTTTTTTCACGATTTCCGCAATTTTATTGCAAAAGATGAAGTTGCACAATCTTAGCATCGTTGCAATGCTAGTGGTTCCTTTTTGCAAAATGCAATCCAAACGACGCACGACTGATTACATTGCGGTGAAGCTAGAACCACTAGAACCCCCAGGTTCGGTCTAGTCGCTCCGAGCGCCGCTGGTCCATGGTACCAGACCGCTGAGGGTAGAGCGAGGGGACAACGAACGGTGGGCGCAAGGGAAGCGGAGAGGATTATGATGAAATGAAATCATTAATCAGGGGGCTAATTAATGCGGGAAAATTCATACACCGCGGGGCGCCTCGTCACCTTTGGCTCGGNGGGGGGGGGGGGGTTGCGTTGGCCGAGTGGGCATTCACTGACCCCTGTCCCTGGTCTCTTGCCGGAAACACCGGAACAATGGTCGGGCACATCCGGGAACGAGATGAACCAAGGACATCGACAGGAGTGGACAGTTGGAATCCAGTTCGTGCTTCGGTCCGACGGGATACAGTCGCGGTGTGCTCTCGCAGTTCCGTGTGCTGCGCCTGTGGCAGGATATCATGCCAATCTAGGACCAACATGACCAAACAGAGCTACTTCCCAAGCATGGTCCAAGCAATTACAGTCCTGACCGTCCTCAAGATGTTGACCAACGGTGAGTATATTTCTCAGATCCGCATGCCTATCTTCAGCCTCTTTCACTCGTGGGCCGGGGGTCGCGGCTCGCTCAGCTTCCGTTCCTCGGAGGCCTGCGCTTTGTCATGCCGGTTGCATAGTTTCCGCTTCGAAGGCGCACCCTCTCAGTGCATGGTTTCTTCACCTCCCGGCAACAAACGCTGTGTCATCTTCATCGTTATTTTGCTGTTATCCTAATCGTTCCGTAATTCAAAGTGTAATCCGCACTAAGGGACCTTTCCAGTATTACGTAACGCATTTTCCCCGATGTTTGACCCCCCCCCCTCCCCCCTTGAAATGCAGCCGTAACGCAGCCCAGCAACCTCCCCCCCTCATTTACAAAACAGCAAGAAAACGCTTAGAAAACATCTTGAAAAATATTCGGGTTTTTCGGGACATATTTTACTGCAATAAAACGGGAAGAGGGGGTGAGGGGTGAGTAAGTGCGACACGTGTTGCGTCGGCTGGGTCACGCGCCGTAAGGATTCATTTGGGAAGTGCGGAATTTTCAATTTTTTGCATGTTTTTTTCAATTTTTTCTCCGGCTCGAATTTGATCCGTAACTCTGGATTTGACCCCCTCCCCCTTGTAA